CGTAGGTCTGGGCAACGGTCACTTCGCTATTTCAGCGATATCAGGTGGCCGCAGACTCGTTTCCCACCTTATGATATAAAAAAAAGCCATATAAAAATAAAAGGTTCTATACATTTGAAAACATAAATAATATTTGTCATCAGATGTTAACATAACAAGTTAACTGTTAAAATAAAGCTAAGTTAAGAAAACTGCAACCTACACATATGAGAAAGTCAATGTGTGAAGTCTAGCATTGAACCAGCATTCACTATCACATACTCTCACTTAGGGTACACTCTGAGACCGATGTAGATTAGAAAAAAGAATTGTCTTTGTTAACAGTGGCCAATAACTAATCACTTACCCTAAAATACTTCTGTTCTTGTGCATCAAGTTGTGCAACTGACATAGTAAAGTCCCATGGTGGTCGCTTCGGGAATGATATGTCCGATGGGAAATAATCTGATGGATTTATCTCCATATCCTTCTCTGATACGGGATTTAAAGATTTCCTGGAATTTAAGAATGTAGATAAAACAAGAGGTAACATCAGCAGGACTGAAAATATCCATTAGACTAAAATATTACTAATATTATAAATGTTAATGTTTGGATGGATGTATGTTAGAAGGTATCTCCAGAACGACTGAACAGATCCCGCTGAAATTTGGCATATATGTAGAACATAGTCTATCACATAGCCACTTGATTCCAATCAGGTGTGTTTGTGTTCAAGTACTGGTTTATTCAATACTAGCTGTCGCCTGCTACTCTCTCCACGTGTATATACAAAACTTAATTAGTGTAGCCTATGTGTTCTTCAGACTATGTTCTATATGTATGCCAAATTTAATCGAGAACCGTACAGCCGTTCTAGAGATATCTTTAAACATCAACCATTCGCGCATTTATAATATTAGTAAGTTAAATAAAAAGCAGCTCTTCAAGGTATAAATTCGAAAAAAATGAATAAATAGTATCCTATGTCCGTCTCCTGGCTCTAAGCTACCTCCTCAACAATTTTCAGTCGTATCGGTAAAGCCGTTCTTGAGTTATAAATAGTGTAACTAACACGACTTTCTTTTATATATATAAGATAAAAAAAGAACACATAGGTTACTAAGTTTTTTTTTTAAGTTCCGAGCAGACGGAGTTGTCAACAAGTTATACTCACAATGCATCCTCTTTCTTCATTTTAAGTTCTTCATCAGTTTCTCTATAGAACTTAAGCGCGTATCGGTTTGCATCACTACGGCCTCTTGCTTTCGGTTGATAGTTCACTGAGACCACATCATATGCGTTTGAACTTGTCGATGCTGTGGATATAAAGATTATTTTATTAAAACATGGCTGTATTGAATACAAACATATCATCATCATCATCAGCTCACTATACGTCCCTACCGAGGAGCTCGGAACGTACCCAAAGTTAGGGGTGACTATAGTCAACCACGCTGGTCAAGTGCGGGTTGACTTCACATATATTTTTAAATTTCTTGTTAATACTAGAATAATTAATCTTACTAATATTATAAATGCGAATGTCTAACAGTTTTTTTGAATGCATCTCTAGAACGGCTGCACGTATCTTGATGAAATTTGGCATACGTATAGAAGAGTCTGTAAGAACACAAGTAACTAAGCTTTTTTTTTATTTCGGCACGTAATAAGTCACGCACGACGAGTATAACATAAACCATTTCAATATCGGTTTACGACTGTCTAAGGCACAATTTCCACTAGCTTGGTTCGATTTTCATAAAGCTAGTGAAAAATGTGTTTAAGTATTGATTTATGACGTGTTAGTTGGAGTCTGCGTAGTTAAGCGCTTTTATCTTTTACAAAATCTGTCCACAGATGACGTTGTCTCATTTATTTAGACGATATCGTTTTATTACGTGCTTTGCATCATGTCTGTTGGATATCAAATTGTTGTCACTCTAAATCTACTATTGCTTAAAAGATTGTAAGTTTTTATAATTTTTGCAAAAGTTCCACCTATATGAGGTGGAACTTATATAATATGAAATAAACTAAGGGTAAAACCTTGTTTTCTTTACAGAAAACTAGCTAATGCCCGCGACTTCGCATAGAAATGTCTGTTTCTGTCGGGGTTACCTTTGAGAGATGTGTAGGTAACTTCATCAGCTTTAGGTCCGTCCGCGCAGAATTATAAAAACTCATAATTAGTAACCTCACATAGGTTACTAATTCTTGCAGACTATGTTCTATCACCATCATCAGCTCACTATTTGTCCCCACCGAGGGGCTCGGAGCCTACCCTAAGTTAGGGGCACCTACGCCATAGACAACCACGCTTTGAATTTCTTCTCAGATATGTGCAAGTTGCATTATGATGTTTTCAATTACCATAACAACATACGATAAATGTACATTTTTAATTCGTAAATCGAAAAACACCTTGGTACATGGCGAGAATCGAACCTAGGATCTGCAGATTGCAAGTCAAGTGCTTGAACCATGAGCCACCGACGCTCGTGAAACATGTTATAAATCTTAATAATATTATAAATGCGAATGTTTAGATGGATGGATGTTTATTTAAAGGAAAGCTGCACGGATCTTGTTAAAATTTGGTATAGATGTAGAACAGTCTGGAAGAACACATAGGCTACTTATTAACTTTTTTTTTAATTCTGCACGGAATAATTAGTTGAACAATAAGTTACAGTCTTTTCTTATGTTCCAACAATGAGATCCCAACAATCTTACGAACATTGGGATGGCAAATGAATCGATCTTAGATAGCTATACTAGCAAGGAGACGTTGACAACTTCTTACTAATATTATAATCTTATATATTTAAATGAGCAATTCTTATATATGTATATATATAATTGGAATATCGGAATCGGCTCCAAAGATTTTCATAAAATTTAGTATATAGGGGGTTTCGGAGGCGATAAATCGATCTAGCTAGGAATAATTTTTAGAAAATGTCATTTTATTCGTGTTTTATCGATAATCAACTTACACATAAACTTAACTTTTTCTATCGGTAAGATCGAAAAATATTATTCATATTTCATCATTTTATTAGTAATTCGTACTTAAATATAATTTCCAAAAAACACAATTTAAAAAAAAAATTCCGAGCAAAGCTCGGTCATCCAGGTACTCTTGTTAATATAATAAACTAGCTGTCGCCCGCGTGGATATATAAAAAAAAACTTAATATTATCTATATATTAGTTAAATAAAAAGCAGCTCTTAAAAGGCTTAAATGCGAAAAAAAAGAATAAATAGTATCCTATGTCGTCTCCTGGCTCTAAGCTACCTCCTCACTAATTTTCAGGCATATCGGTAAAGTCGTTCTTGAGTTATAAATAGTGTAACTAACACCACTTTCTTTTATATATAGATGTGAATGTTTGGATAGATGGATGGATGTTCGTTTGAAAAGGTTTTGCTGAAATTTGGTAAAGATGTAGAACATAGTCTGGAACAACAAATAGGCTTTTTTTGTGACTGAGTAGTCACTGTGTGCCTTGAAGAGGCATGTACAGTTTCAACTTGAGGTGGACGAGCGCAGATGGAGCTTAGCCCGAACCTCATTTACGAGTAACAAGACTGGAGGGCTCCCTCAGGAGCCTCGGATCGGGCTGTTACTTCATTATTGTTACCAAATTGGAAGGTCACCGAGCTCCACACATAGGCTACTATTTTTTTTCAAACCAACAGGTGACAGCCAGTATACAATAATAAATAGTTGCAGATGTGTTGCCTAAGGGCAGAAATGGGAAGATCCCATACAATTCTTTACCAGACAAAACAAATTACCCTACTCATGCTATCTATATTAGTCCAGCGCTGGCGATGTGGACATGTCTACATATGTCCTGAAGAATTTCGTGTTTTATTTTTGTGCTAGAATATAAATTTGTATTTTTTGTTTTGTATGGACCATGTGTCTGAATAGAAGATTTTATTATTATTTTATCATTTATTAACCTTATTCTTAAAATATTACATTTCATATAAAAAAAATTGGACAAGTATGTATGAGAAATAGATACTATGCCAATTTTCGATACAGAAAAATACAGAATGGTGATTGAGAAAAGAGGAAAAAGACAAGAAGTAGCTACTGTTACTGAATTCATCAGATAATGTGAAACTTACATGACAATAGCAAGTTCTTGTTCTTTTTAGCTTGCAGTTGTTGCTTCTTAGCTTTGCCACTGAAAGGGGTTTTACGACGAGCCTGCGGCATTTTTAATCTGGAACATAAAAAGTTTTAATTACTAAATAAAGTCTAAACTGGATAATTAGAGAGTAACCTCGATATTTTTCTCACGTATAGAGGTTTGTTTCTCACTTATGGAGGAATTCCGTCGGGAACTCAACTCTCGCTTATAAAAGTTTTGTACTTGTGAAAAGTTTTTATGAAAAGTAGGTTACCGTTATTTCTTCGCAAATTTTTAATTAAAAAACTTTTATTAGTCAAACTTCATTAGGAGATTTTATATTATTCTTCTCATACAAATATACTTGCACTTAAAGTTAAAAAATGAAACAAAAAGGCAAATGCGGAGTAATAAAGTCAAATAAGAAGAGAAAGTGTTCTTAAATTGTTTTACCGCAATTATAAATAAACGAATATACTATGCACGGACTTACTTTATATAGTTTGTTAAAGAACCGGTGAAGAAATTCGAGAAACTTCAATTATTTACCTGGGTTAATTTTATGGAATGCGATATGCAGTTTCGTTTCAAAGTTTCCAATGGTTTCGTGGAAACTGACAGCTGTCAATTAGAGAAACGTGCTTTTTTATGAGATTTCCCTTTTTGTTTCCCTGTTAAATCTTTAATTGTATGTCAAATATTTAATTAATTGAAAATTATCATCACAACAATATTAAATTAATAACTTTTGTAACATAATCAGCGTTTTGTTTTATTCTTTTCACACGGAAACAAGCTCTATGACTTTATAAGCTTTTGCCCAAATTTCAAAAAACACGTTACTGTCAATGTCATCTAATCAAGCTGTCAATGTCGACAATTATTGTATTTTTTGATTTTATCTTAACAATTTAATTATTTCTAATTAAATATAAGTGTTATTTTGTAATTAAAATGGAGCAAATACAAAGATTAGAACAGGAAATAGATCATTTACGTAAAACATTACAAGAGAAAGAGAACGAGTTATTTGAAATGAAAAGAAATTGGATGCCGGTATGATCAAATCTTCTAAATATTACTACTAGAAACATTAAGAAAAACCTGTTTCTTATTTATCGTTATCATATTAATATTGTTAATGCTTACCAAAAAAAATTACATTACTTAAAACTTACAACAACTTACTTTTTACTTATAGATGGAGTCAAACGATACACAACCAGAATTCACGACATTGTATTCACGGAATGAAAGTAATGTAGGAAAAGTTCAATATGGGGATAAACTTCCTAAGTGGGCTATTGAAAGGTAAGTTAGAGGTAAACTATAAAGTCAAACCTGGATAAGTGAAACCAAAACAAAAAACAATATTTAGGCAAAAAATTTTTTTATATCAAAAGGTGGCAAACGAGCGTGCGGCCACCTGAAGTCGCTGAAATAGCGAAGTGACCGTTGCCCATAGACATATGCACTTGCATATGTGTTGCCTACCTTTAATCAACGGAGGAGAGGATACACAGAAAGAAAATATCTTCCCTTTGCATGCATCCTCTCATCCAGAAAGCCCACTTCCACTTCCCATCCTTTCCTTATAAAGAAAAGGATGGAAAGAGAAAGAGGACTAAATTAGGCCTCCAGGACGCACACTCATCAGACGAAACGCGGAATTGCTTCCACTTGACGCCTGTCATCTGTGTGGTCGTGGTATTTCACCAGTCGAGCTGGGCCAATTCGTGCGAAGATGTTAAAGCGGGCTCTACGACTGTTAATTACTTAAGTTAATAGTCGTAGAGCCCGCTTTAACATCTTTAGAGATCTAAGAGTTATAAACATTCACATGGTTTATATACTTCTAAATAAACTTTTATCTATTATTCCCTATTGTTATTTTGTACACTCGAAAGCAAATGTTTCATAATCTTTGAATATCATGTTAATTTATATGAAACTAGTTATCGCCAGCTACTCCATAATACCATATTGAAAAATACTTAATAGACTATGTGTTATTCCAGACTATGTTCTACATCTGTGCCAAATATCATCAAGGACCATTGAGTCCATCCATCCATCTAAACTATCACATTTATAATATTAGTAAGATTAACAGCCTAAAAATCTAAGTATCAAGCTTTTAACTGTAAAAGTGACAATACTTTCATGTATATTTCAGATACAGTAGACAGATATTACTACCAGATATCGGAGTGGCAGGTCAGGAAAAGTTGTGTAAGGCTAAAGTACTAATTGTGGGTGCTGGTGGACTTGGCTGTCCTGCTGCTGTGTACTTAGCTGGTGCTGGAGTTGGTGAGTTAATAACTTTAATTTTTATATTGTTACTAATATTGTTTACTGGCTGTTGCCCGCCACTTTGTCTGCGAGGAATAACAAGAAAAACCTAATTAATAGCGTATGTATTCTTCCAGATTATGCCAAATTTCTTTGAGATCCAAGTAGCAGTTATGAAGACAACTTCTAACAAATATTCACCCATCCATCCGTTTAAACATTCTTCTTCTTCTTCTTTTAATTACTAGTGGACTCTATTGTTTAATTTCGATGATTTCGCCAGCACCAAGGTTGAATGTAATTGAAAACTTAAAAGAAAGATTACGTAGCAAAGAACAAAGAGGTAGACGGAGTACAGTTCTGTTGTGTCTGAAAAAGGACAACCCAATTGTTAGAAATCTAAACCTTCATATTTATAATATTAGTAAGAAGTAAGATTGATGGATGAATGGATGTTTGTTAGAAGATATCTCCGGAACGGTTGAACGGATCTTGATGAAATTTCTCACAGATGTAGAACATAGTCTGGAAGAACACATAGACTTGTTAACTTTGTTTTCAGTTACGCACATGTGATACATTTGTTCAGTTGTTTACCGTTGTTTATCCGTTCAGCCAAGACTTGTACACAGAAATTACATAGTCTTATATGTATACGTTATATATTTCAGGTGAAATAGGTATAATAGATTATGATAAAGTGGATTTAACAAACATACATAGACAAATACTGCACGCTGAATGTGATCAGAACAAAAGTAAAGCTGTAAGTGCTGCGGAGACATTGAAGAGGTGAGTAATAATAATAAAACTTTATTGCCATAAAAAACTAAACAAAATTATATAACACACTGTTATCCTAGTGCTGGAAAAAGGGGATGGCTCAGCTTTGCCAACACAGATTCCAGTGTCGAGCTGGTTTTAAGCCACCCCTTCCCAAGATGAAAAAGCTGGAATAGATAGTAGATGGTCGCTTCTTATTATTACTACTTTGTATGCTTAATGCGTTTAACATATACGAACAGAAAATTAAAAGACACACAATTTAAGAAAATGAAACTGTTAAATAAGAACAATATATCAACCAATAATGATCCTTTACTGCTTTTGTTTATATGTAGGTTGTTTTTTTCCTTTTAACAAGCACCAGCTTTCCGATGTGTGTGTGATTGTGTGTGTGTGTGACTACAGCGGTAGTAATCTAAATATTATTATATTTCATATACAAGATGTATATTTAATTGATAATAATGAGAAATGAATTTTTAAATGTTTATCTGTATGTATGTCCGCAAGTTTGCATTTTTTATAATATCAAAAGTAGGCAAACGAGCGAGCGGTCACCTGAAATCGCTGAAATAGCGAAGTGACCGTTGCCCATAGACATACGCAATTGCATATGCGTTGCCTATCTTTAATCGACGGAGGAGAGGATGCACAGAATGATAATATCTTCCCTTCTCATGCATCTTCTCATCCGGATAGTCCACTTCCCATCTTTTCCTTATAAGAAAAAGTGTGGGAAGGGAAAGAGGACTAAATTAGACCTCCGGGACGCTTGCTTCCACTTGATGCCTGTCTTCTGTGTGGTCGTGGTATTTCACTGAGTGAGCCGGGCCAATTAGTGTGAAGATGTTAAAGCGAACTCTACCACTGTTAAATATTTTGACGGGGCTTTGACTGGAATGTAGCTGATTTATGCGGCCATGTTATAGGTTATTATATTATATTAAAGTCATGGGCAAACTCTGTCTTCTTACTAATATTATAAATGCTACAGAACTGCTGTATGGATCTCACTGAAATTTGTCATAGATGTAGAACATAGTCTGGAAGAACACATAGACTACTAATTAAGTTTTTTTTTAATTCAGCGCCGACGGAGTCGCGGACGACAACTAGTATGATATTCTTTATATTTCAGTATTAATTCTAATATTAAAATTACTCCATATATGCTACAGTTAGATTCAAGTAATGCTTTGGATATCATTTCTAAATACGATGTGATATTGGATTGTACAGACAATGTACCAACAAGATATTTACTAAATGATGCTTGTGTGATGAATAAGGTAAGGAAATTTAGTTATCATCAGCTCTAAGTCCCCACTCAGAGTGTACCCTAAGTGAGAGTATGTGATAGTGAATGCTGGTCCAGTGCAAGACTTCATACATTTCACTTTCTCAGATATGTGCAGCATCACGATGTTTTCCTTCACCGTAACATACAACATTTGTATAAACACACCTTGGTTTACACTCTAATAGTGGGTTACTAAGATCAAAAATATTTTCTTTCTGTGCATTTTTTTTTATAAGGTGGCAAACGAGCGAGCGGTCACCTGGAATCGCCGTAAAGGATGTACCGAAAGAATTTATTTTCCCTTTCCATGCATCCTCTCATCCGGAAAGTCCACTTCCACTTCCCATTCTTCCCTTATAAGAAAATGGGTGGGAAGGGAAAGAGGACTAAATTAGGTCTCCGGGACGCACACTCATCAGACGAAATGCAGAATTTCACTGAGCGAGGACAATTCGTGCGAACATGTTAAAGCGGACTTTACCACTGTTAAACTCTAACTGTGGGTTTCTAATATCAAAATCTCTGTTAACATATTGTTATCTCTGTCTTGTAAAATGAATGACAGGGATGACGATATGTTTTATACAAAGATTTTTGTCTCAGAAACCAACTGTTAATCAAGTTAACTTTGAGACTAATATAGTCGTATATTATTATTTAATTGTAGTTTTTTAGTCGACTTCAAAAAGGAGGAGGTTATCGATTCGTCTGTTTGTTTATTTATTTTAATGTGTTACCTCGTAACTCTGATCCTAGTGGTCCGATGTTGAATATTTTTTTTTGATTGTAATTTCTTTAGGGTTCTGATCGAAAGGAAGAAACCCTTATAGGATCACTTTGTTGTCTGTCTGTATGTCTGTATGTTTGTCAATATATTTATTTTTATTTTTCAGTTACCTTTGATATCAGGGAGTGCATTAAAAATGGAAGGACAGTTAACTATATATGGATATAGAAGTGGAAGGAATCAAAATGAGAAGGTATTTTTTTTTAATTTTATTGCATTTATTATCTCTAGCCTGTGATTCCGTTTGCAAGGAATTAAAAACTTAATTATTAGTCTATGTTTTCTTCCAGACTATGTTCTATATTTAAGACCAATTTCATCAAGATCTATGCAGCTGTTCTAGAGATACATGATCGAGATGATGATCTTGATGAAATTTGTCATACATATAGAACATAGTCTGGAAGAACACATACACTACTTATTAAGTGTTTTTTTTTAAATTCTACACGGACAGAATCGCGAGTGATAACTAGTCTTACTAATATTATAAATGCGATTGTTTAGATGTATGTTTGTTTGAAGATATTTGCAGAAAATCTGTATGGATCTTGATGAAATTTGTCATACATATAGAACATAGTCTGGAAGAACACATACACTACTTATTAAGTTTTTTTTAAATTATCGCGGACGGAGTCGCGGGTGATAGCTAGTTTGTTATAATTTCAGGAATTATATCAGGGTGGTTGTTACCGTTGTCTGTTTCCCAACCCACCACCAGCGGAGACTGTGGGGAGTTGTTCAGCTAATGGAGTAGCCGGACCTATACCAGGGGTTATAGGTAAGTGTTCGACTAGTAGGGTAATCATCATCATCAGTTCAGTATACGTCCCCACTGAGGGGCTCAGAGTCTACCCTGAGTTAAGGGTGACTAGGCCATAGTCTAGACTAGACTATGGTCTAGTCACCTCTAGAATAGAGTGAAAATTTTACCCGACTAGAGTGAACATTTTGGCCGACTCAAGTAATAATTTGCCCGACTCAAGACATAATTTTGCCTGACTCCAGTGATCATTTTGAACTAATCAAGTGATCATTTTGCCCGACTTTTGTGATAATTTTGCCCGACTCCAGTAAACATTTTGAACTAATCCAGTGATAATTTTGCCCGACTCATGTGATAATTTTTGCCCGACTGAATATTTTTTTCATTTTTAGGTGCATTACAATCTTTGGAAGCTATAAAATTAATTGTTGGTCAAACTCGTGATAAATTATTAGTTGAAAGATTTTTAATATTTGATGGAGATGATGTGACTTTTAGAACAGGTACGTTTCTAGTTATTTTATAAACTGACGGACGGCGATTTTGCTAAATATATATCAAATGTCACAGTCATATTGTGAATTATGTTTGTAATCTATCAAGTGAACTATAAGATAGTACTAAATTATATAAAATTTTAAGTTCACAATCTGACGGCTATCAATCACCGACAGATTGTGAACTATGAAAAATTTATAATCTATCAAGTTATAAACTGGATGTTTTAAAATTTTCATTTCACAATCTGACGGTCATTATGTACCGTCAGATTGTAAACTAACATATAATAATTTAAATGCATCTTATATTCATTATTATACAAGATTTTTTTTCTTAGTAATTTATGTTTTTTTTTTGTAATTTTTCAGTAAAACTCCGCTCGCGAGATCCGAATTGTCCAATGTGTTCTGAAAATCCAAAAATAACAAATTTAATTGATTATGAAGTGTTTTGTAAATCACAAGCCAAAGAAAAGGTAAGTTAAAATATACAAAATATACCAAAAGCCTCGATAGCTCAGTGGTTAAAGCACATGACTTGTGAACTGCAGGTCCTGAGTTCGAATCCCGTCATGTAGCAATGTGTTACATATGTACATTTATCGTATGTTGTTACTGTGAAGGAAAACATCGTGATGCTGCACATATCTGAGAAAGTCAAATGTGTGAAGTCTTGCACTGGACCAGCATTCACTATCACATACTCTCACTTAGGGTAGACTACTCTCAGTGAGTACTTAATTCGCCAAAATAGCATTCGCCCATAAATCTCCTTTAAAGGCCTTTAAAATCTGTAGTTCCTCTGACATTGTGGATGTCCAGATCAAATAATTTTAGGTGATTCGATTCTACTATAAAAAAATTCCCTTACTTATCCCTTCCATCAAATGTATTTCCCCTTCTCATTCTTATAAGAAAAGGATGGGAAGGGAAAGACTACAAATACGCAATTACTAGCTTTTCATCCATAACTTCGTCCAATGTATATATATAAATAAAATTGGATTGTCATAATTTATTTTATTAAAATCTAGATGACCGCAGCTTTGCTCGGTATTTTTTTTAATTGTGTTTTTTTGGAAATTATATTTAAGTAGGAATTACTAATAAAATGATGAAATATGAATGATATTTTTCGATATTTAACAACGCCATCTGTTGTTGTGTCTTTAAAGCAATTTTGCTTACAAAAAATAGTGTTATTATTCGCCAATAGATGTCAGGAAGAGTCATATTTTTCAGCTTTGTTATTTTTCTTTAATTTATTTGAATTGTTTTGTTGATTTTCTAAAAATGATTCCTAACTAGATCTATTTATCGCCCCCGAAACCATCTATATACTAAATTTTATGAAAATCGTTGGAGCCGATTCCAAGATTCCAATTATATATATATACAAGAATTGCTCATTTAAATATATAAGACTATACTTATAAACGCGTTTTATTTATTTAGTGCTTTATGTGTTGAATTCAAAACTGCGAATGTTCTATATAGGTAAGTTAATTTTATTTATTTTGTTATTCAAATTTTTATTGTTTTTTTTAATAAAAAAAAAACGTTCGCAGTATTGAATATTCTAAAATTTAAAAGCTTTTTTCTCTGAATTCTGGGCAAAATAAAAAAAAATCTAGTAATAAATATATTCTATGTCACTCAGTGATAATGAACCTTTCTTATTGTGATAGAATTTTTGATATCAGTTTAGTAGTTTTTGAGTTTATATATAAGTACCAAATCTTTCCTCTTTATAATCTTCCTAATATAAATGTGAATGTTTAGATGTTTGTTAGAAGATATCTCCAGAACATTTGCATGGAACACGCTGTAATTTTGTCGACATATAGAACACAAGCTGACGCCCGCGACTCCGTCCATTAAAACATTAAAAACGCAATAAGTAGTCTATGTGTTCTACCAGACTATGTTCTATATGTATGACAAATTTCATCAAGATCTATGCAGCTGTTCTGGAGATATCTTCTAACAAACATACATCTAAACATTCGCATTTATAATATTAGTAAGATTTTATTCCGTGCGGACAGAATCGCGGGCGATAGCTAGTTAATTATTTTAAAACTTCTAGAAGAAACAAGAACCTTTAAAATCACAGCGTCGTCATGAAGAGAAGCAGAAACGTATGAAAGGTAGGAGTTACTACGGCTTTCGTACGACAGATGGTGATAAGAAGAAATATATACAGGATGTTTTAAAATCTGAAAGGAAAATAGGAAATCGATGTAAATCTGAATATTGTGCTAGAAGATATAGATTCTGTTCATTGTTCACGGAAGAGAAGAGAGAAGAAATATTCAATTATTTCTGGAATCAATTAGATTGGAAAGGTAAGAAGAGTTATGTTCGTTCTTTAATAGATTTAGTTCCACCGAAGAGAAGAAGGTTAACACATAAAGATGGTATATCAAGGAAGGGTGATTCGAAGTTACTACATTTGATATATAAAGATGATAGGTTGTCTGTATGTAAGGTTATGTTTTTAAACACATTAGGTATAAAGGAAGCTATGATAAGAAGTTGGTTGTCAAAGGATAAGGAGAAAATAAAAAAAGTTCCAATGAAAAGTTTGAATGTCGACAAATATATAGATAGTTTACCTAAATCACAATCTAAATGTAGATTATGTACGAATATAGAATATATTAATATTGATAATATTAAAAATATATACCAATTGTATAATTTGTATGTCAGTGATATGAAATGTAAGGGAGTGTTGCCAGCATCTAGGAAGACATTCACTAATGTTGCCAGTATGAAAAATGTCAAAATTTTCAAACCGAAAAATGATAATGATATATGCGATATGTTTAGTGAACACAATTTATTGCCAGATATAAATTTTGATAATAAAAATGTTGCCATATGTGTACCGTGTGATGTTAATTATTATTATTAATAGATGAGTATATTTATTTAATTGTTTATTCCTTTTATTATATACTATTCATCAGCTATACCCACTGAGGGTAGAGTCTACCCTAAGTGAGAGTATGTGATAGTGAATGCTGGTCCAGTGCAAGACTTCACACGTTTGACTTTCTCAGATATGTGCAGCATCACGATGTTTTCCTTCATCGTAACAACATACGATAAATTTACATATGTAACACATTGGTGCATGACGGGATTTGAACATAGGAACTGCATACAAGTCAAGTTAACCACTGAGCCACCGAGGATCTTAGTTTCTAAGGCTTTCCTAAATAAATAAAAGATTTTTAATAATTAAATTTAGATAAATTATTAACGAAAACATGATACTAAAATATTTTAATGTTATTGTCGTTATTATCAATTATTTTACAAAAAAAAAAACTTCAATAATAACAAATAAAAAAGTAGTTTTGTTTATTTTAGGATTTAGATTTACAAATTCTTCCGTCGGAAAATAGGATTACTGCATTCCAATTGAAGGAGGAACTAGGAAATAGTTCAATGAAACAGCGCCATCTTTTGATAGATGTTAGAAATGAAGCTGAGTTTAACATGTGTCGTATAGATGGCGCTGTTAATTATCCTATAGAACAATTCAGAGACGCTAAAGTCGATGAAGTATTGAAAATGATCGATGAAAATTCAAAAGGTTTGTATATTAGCTGTCGCCCGCGACTCCGGTCGCGCGGAATTAAATGAAATACAGTAGTCTATGTGTTCTTCCAGATTTTGTTATGTGTATGACAAATTTCAGCAAAAACTTTTCAGTGGTTCCGGACAGATTTATAAAATTTTTATTAATAATTTTTATTTTTTACAGTCACATTTATATGTAGACGTGGAAATGATTCTCAAATAGCAGCTAAAATTATACTTGACAAAGGAAATGAGGACCACAAAGGTAAAATAAAGGATTTAATTGGTGGTCTACATTCATGGTCTGAATATATTGACCATGACTTCCCTGTGTATTGAAAATAAAGTTTAAAAAAAATAAAAAAAATATTTATTTTTGTTTTATTACCCAAGTCCATAGATATAATTTTTTTTAATTTAGTTTTTTTTACGCAAATTAATGACAATTTGAAAAGGTCACACTTTTAGGCCGTTCGTACATGAGTCAACGTAAATCTTCGGAATTTCGCGAGTTTAGTCTCTTTATATCTGACTAGCTGTCGCCCGCGACTCCGTCCGCGTGGAATGAAAAAAAAAACTAAATTTGTTCTCGGCAATTATAATATTATTTTTCTCACCTTTTAAACCTTTCCTAGACTTCTACGAACATTTCAAGACCAAGATAAAATAAATCCGTTCAACCGTTCTCGAGTTTTAGCGAGACTAACGAACAGCAATTCATTTATATATATAGACTGGCGCTTAGGGCGCCCTAGGCAGTCGCCCCATCGCACACACTAACGCCCCTACTATTCACGCCATTGGATTGGAATGAAATTACTCAATTAATATCTATAATTAGTTTGAATTCTCGCATCTATCAACTGTCAAATTCAAAATGGCGGAAATCGAAATGGCACAAATTACCACAACTTATAGCCTATCCATGTACAAAGGTGAGTGAATGAAATATATTTGTTTTTTTTTTTTAATTTTATTTTTAAATTAATCGAATTTATAATTTCGAGAAATCATTTCTTAAATCGGTATCATCTATATCGTAATTCATAATTTCATCGTCTCCAGTACGACCTATTAATTTTTTTAATTCTTCACTGACAGTTTCTTTTTCTATAACCTTTTTAGTAGTTATTTCATCGCTTACATCCAATATTGGTGGATATTTCCCAAATTGTTTTTGCATATTTTTTATATAATTATCAAGTTCTCTTCGATTTGATAATACAACGTTGATAACTGTAAAAATAACGGTTTTAATATATAACTGTTAATATATTGAGCGTCGGTGTCTCAGGGGTCAAGCACTTGACCCGCTATGTACCAATTACGATTTCCGATTTACATATGTACATTTATCTGACGTTACGGTGAAGGAAAACATCGTGATGCTGCACATATCTGAGAAAGTCAAAGATATGTGTGAAGTCAACCCGCATTTGCCAAGCGTGGTTGACTATGGCTTAATCACCCTTAACTTAGGGTAGGCTCCGAACCCCTCAGTGGGGACGTATAGTGAGCTGATGATGAAAGAAAATAACGAATAAAAAACATATTATAGTGGTTTGTTTTTAAACGAATGTAAAACAAACGTATACAAACATATATGTTTGTATTATATAATTAGAACACTAACTGTAGGTTTCTGATAACAAAATCCCCGTTTAAAACATATTTATCTCTGTTTTGTCAAAGGTAATGACAAGGATGACGATATGTTTCATAGGGTTTTTTATAGATACGTGTAGTTAAATCTTACTAATATTATAAATGCGATTGTTTAGATGTATGTTTGTTAGAAGATATCTCCAGAACAGCTGCATGGATTGCGTTGAAATTTGTCATACATATAGAACATAGTCTGGAAGAACACATAGACTACTCTTTAAGTTTTAGCACCTTGCTGATGACGCCACGGGCTAAAGCTAGTGAACAATAAATTACATTGTCAGCCAGTGACATGTGTTGCCCGTGACTCCATTCGCGTTGAATTAAAAACTTAATAAGCCTGTGTTCTTCCAGACTATGTTCTACATCTATGTCAAATTTCAACGACAGATGCAGCCATACCGGAGATACTTTCATCCATCCATCGAAACATTCGCATTTATAATATTAGTAAGATTTTATACGTATATATATAAACCTTACTTCATAACTGTTCTCCCATTAGGGTAGAAATACATAAAATTGTACTTACGTATGATAAAAATCAACGATAAAACTGTCTTCATTGTGAAGGAATCAAATAAAGATTGAAATGACGATTCAATTGATGGCTTTTTAATTCAATCTTTACCAAAATTAACTTATAATCGTAGTTATTTCATGCTTAATTTTCTCGTAAGATAATTTTACTGCATTCCAATATAAACTATGTCTTTTTAATTTAGGTTATATAGCTGTCATCCGCGACTCCGTTCGCGCCATATTAAAAAAAAACAAAATGAGTAGTCTATGTGATCTTCCAGACTATGTTCAAATTTCATCGAGATTAAGCAGTTCTGGAGATACCTTCAAACAGACATCCATCTAAACATTTGCATTTATAATATTAGTATGATTAGTATTGATGTAGGAGAGTAGGCAGCGATGGTATGTGAGGATTTAACAGTGGTAAATATTATCTAATTTTTCTAGTAATAAATATAAAATCGGAAACAGTTAAGGACTTTTTTCTGGTCTGTCTATACTATTTATTGTGTTTAAATCTTTATTCAACCCGACGACTTAGTCATGTCTATTTACGTGATTGAGGATTTTGTTGCCCTGCCTTAGCAATTGCCTACCAATAACCAAATAATATTGACCTTTAGATAAACAAATGTACTTGAAAATCGACCTTATTACGTCGCAATAAGAATCATTTATTGTTTACAAGAATGTAAAAGTAATTTTGTGGTGATCCCAAGCCCTTTTTCTAAGGTATCTCTGATTGGCTAATAAGAAATTTTGCGCGCGCAACTTAAACGGCGAATTTTCGTATTTAAATAAATTTTGGAATACATTGCTGTTTTAGCTTGCTTGGTATGTTTTTGGGGTGGAAGAAAAGTAGTAATGTATGGTTAATTTTATACATTGACGTTTTCGTTTGAATTTTGGAATGTAGTAGGGTTGACGATATCCCGATTTTCTTTTCAGTCAGTTACGGGATTTCTTTTGCAACACTTCATTTTGTTAGACAAAAAAAAGATTTGAAATAAATTTAATTACAACCAGTATTGAAAAATGTTTAAAATATCGTTAAGATTTTGCGATGATTAGAAATGTTTTTAAATAACGTCGATTTTGTATTAAATTTCAACAGTGTTATAAAAATAATTCCTATTTTAAAACTGATTTATTCTTTCCAAAAAAAAAAAACTTTTTTTTAAAAAACAAACTAAAAACCAGTGCCTTTTTTAAATAAAAAAAAACTGTCAAATGTGCACAGGGTCGTAATCAAAAATCTTTAAACATTATTTAAAATACAGGGTCGCATTTAAAACCGTTAAATTAAAAAGAAAAAAACAAAATGGCGAATGTAGGTAAGGTGTTAGCTACAATAAAAGCCGTTATAACAAGATTGGTGTTCGCTTGTCACGGCATAATAGCAATATGGCAAGTGACTGTTTTTAAAAATAGTATAGAATATTGGTATTTAGCTTCTCCAATTTTATTACTAATCTTCGAAGGCGTATTTACTTTAACAATCAAGGATAATCAAGAATGGAAATGGTAAGTTTTTGATATAGAAACATATTTTTAAATTAATTTTAATAATAAGTAAGATAGTAATAATAATAAGACGCAATTCTTCGTGCTTTAAAAAAAATAGTCGACATAGATAAATTATTAAAGGAGTATAATTTTAAAGATTCTTTATAAATTAACAAGGAGCTTTTAAATTTACACCCTTCGGTTCATGAGAGACAGATTAATGTTTGTTTGAAGATATCTCCGGAACGGCTGAACGAATTTTGATGAAATTTGGCATACATATAGAACATAGTCTAGAAGAATACATAGGGTACTTATTAAGTTTTAATTCCACGCGGATGGAGTCTCAGGCGGCAGCTTCTGAATCTATATTTTTCACAATCATTCTTGCGCCTTTTTTTGTTTATTTGATAGTACCATTTAAATACATTTGTTCTATATTTGACCTTTTTATATTGTCACCCCGTTAGCCTGACATTTGAGGGCTTTATGAATGACCAGCGAAGGGGAAAGATTATGAACTTAGCGTTAAATAACAAACGGATGTAATAATAATTGTTATATTAAATGATTAATAAAAACACGAGGATTTGTCAATGTATTTGACAATTTAATTATCAAGTAACAAAGTCTTGATTGTCAAACGAATGTGATTCGCCAATGCCCAATACTACTAGCATTTGGCAGAGATTCTGTCTGTTTAAAATAAAGAAAATAGTAGGCTGTGTTCTTTCAGATATATTCTATTTCTATGACAAATATCAGTAAGATCTGCTCAGTATTTCTGGAGATATCTTGTAACAAACATCAAAACTTTTGCATTTATAATATTAGTAAGTTCAAGATGTAAATTCCATTCTTAATGGAACAATATTACCATCTTCTTAACATAAATGCAAAAGTTTGGATGTATGGATGGATGTTTGTTATAAGGTATCTCCAGAACGGCTCAACGGAGCTCGCTACTAACAAGGTTTTTTCCTAATACCGTGGATAGAGTTGCGGGCGACAGCTAATTATGTCAGTTTTTTTTCGAAAAAATTAAAATCATAGGTTTCATCGTAAAATACGTCGTATCCATTGTTTTTAGTTTTTATTTGGAACATATTAAACGCGGTATAATTATGCAATTTGCTAAAACTGTCCGCGATGACAGCGCCATCTTTTATAACAGGAACAGGATGTCATTAGTGGGTATACCGAGTCAACATTTCTCAGCCGCACCTTGTTTGGAAAGCTTTGTTAAGATATCAAATATTCTCATAAAGACTAATCGTTCGAGAATTCCTCCTCTTGGTATTAAAAAAAAACAGTATTCCATGCCTTATGCTTAGTCCAGGCTAATCTATATCTGTTCCAAATTTTATCTACATCTGTACAACAGTTCTGGAGTTACGAGGTAACATCAAGACATCCAAAATTTACTGACTTCGCCACTGTATGTGTGTTTTAAGTATATAAATTACGTTGTGACGTCAGAGCCGGACGAGTGAGGTGTCTTTTTATTTTTATGAATAAATTAGTTTTTTTTCACCAGTTTTATTTTACAGGTTCTGTCCATCCGTTTTTATCTATTTGGGTCTGGTAGTACCAGCGATATGGCTACTAGAACTCCACAAAGTAGACTTAAGGCTGCAGAAGAAAG